ATTGTTAAGACATTCTAGCCTATTGAAATTCAGAATTAATTTCGAACAGCTGTGTCACTTTAAGACGATCACAGTGGCCGCGTGGTCTGAACTTTACGCTCTAAAGCCATGAACCGTCTTCCCCCCCCCCCCTCGAACACCGGGATCGCGGATTCGATTCCCACTTGAGGCGTGGATGTGTGTGCGTTTATCCTATGTGTAGGTAGCGGCCTTGCGACGGGCTGATCCCCCGTCCAAGCAGCCTTCCTGACTGTGTATAGGATTAAGAAGAAACTTAAAAAGCAGCCGGGGTCGAAAGGGTAGAGCCAGAGAGTGAGTGTCGTTTTAATATTTGGTGTGGCTTCCCGGATGAGGACTCGGCCCCTTGCAAAGCCTCAGTCTACTCAAAACAACAGAGAGACATGTGAATGTTCGTGCGCAGAACGAAATTGGAATGAGTCGGAATACTCGAGCGGCCGAAGAGAGTACGCGTTTTAGGACTGTGTGGCCGGCCACTGTGATTGGCTTGGATATGGATTGTTACTGGTGATTAATAATGATATGCACGTGAAGAGACGTTTCTAGGCAACGGCTCGGTTAACTTGTTGACGCGGAAAGGGACTGTTGGAAATGATGATGCAAAGGGGGTTGTAAGAAGGACAGTTTAAGAGAAGGGAGTTGCTGCTTAAGCCCGGAAGCAGATGAATAGCCATTGTTAGAAGCCGCTACCAGTAAACTTCTAGTGACGACTCTGCATGCTGGGATAGACAGCGTGATGTGTAAAGTGTGGATATTAGTGATGGCTTTATAATTAAGTGTAATTAAGATTTGTGTGCTAAAGTGACCAGTAAATCCACTATCCAGCCCAAAACCCCTCGATAGTCAATCACTTGACAATATTATAAAATAGTAGTGACAATAATAGTACAGCGAAGCTTCCCCCAATGATTAAGTCACCTTTCCATGAAGGCACATTGGGTATACGCTTCGCCTGATTTTCCCCGGGAAAGAACACTTATTGCGGATTGCGTAAGAGGCGCCGGATGGGCCTCGTGAGTCGGTATGGACACATTGGCGAAGGCAAGAATCTGTACCCCATTTTGGGGCTGAACCCCGGCCGCCCAGCTCGTAGCCAGTCAATTTACTGACTGGTGTATCCCAGGTAACAGCAGCAGTTCTAGTAACAGTAGGCAGAATAATAATTTAATTAAATAAACCAAATGTAGTATAACTCAACTTTGCCGCGGGATTGACGGCCGGGATTCGATTCCCGGCAGGGGCAAGATATTTCTCGTACACACAGCGGCCAGATTGACTCTGGGACATACCCAGCCTCCTATCAAGTGGGTACCCACTCACGGAGCTGAACCCTTCTTGAGAAGCCGCCAATTGTGCAGTTACTCAAGAATTTCCCAGCATTTTATGGATCCCGAAGGTTCATTACCGTGTTCACAAGAGCCCTCCAGTGGTCCCTATCCTGAGCCAGATCTATCCAATCCATACCATCCCGTCCTATCTCTCTAAGATCCACTGTCCACCTACCTACGCCTTGGTCTTTCCAGTGGTCTCTTTCCTTCAAGCTTTCCCGCCAATATCCTATATGCATTCCTCTTATCCCCCATTCGTGCTACGTGCCCCGCCCACCCGATCCTCGACTTGATCCTTATTATTCTTGGAGAAGAGTATAATTGTCCAGTTGATTTTGGGAACTATTTTCCTGGGAGTGAAGTGTCCGGGACGTGAAGCTGGCCACTCACTATCTAGTGACGAGATCAAGAATGGTGGAGCTATACCTCCACTCTGCCATATGTCTTCATGGCGTGTTTCTTAATTAATCGCAGGAAGAACTTTTTTTGTGGCTCAACTCTGAGAATGCCGTTATGCGTGTTCCATACCCTGAAGAAACAATCCTATGGCAAATGAATCGGTTAGCAGGCAGTGTCAAGTCAGCTTATTAGAACAAGGAGAGAAGTGGCGCCAGGCAGGCACCGATATGTCGCGTCTGCTGACGGCACTCTCATGGCAGTATTTTCGTCACTGCATCGAATAATAATCCTCACTTTTCAATCTTTCCTTCAGAACTTTGACGTTCAAATAGACGACAGCAGCTGTTAGTGAAGGGTTATACATGCGGTTAGTGCGTCTTAACATCGGCACAAATTTGTACAGAGACAAGATTAAGAGTTAAGTCGGTTGCAGAGACACAGTAGCGAGGCTGAGAGGCCGTGACATTATCACTGCGCAAGCAACTCAAGTTCTGTGTGCATAGAAACGTAAGCTGAAGCACTCCCTAGCTTTTCCATTCATGGGAGAGGAACGTCGCGGTGGCTAGTTAAGCGTCCTTGCATCAATACCGGAAAGTAAATTTTCGCCCAGAATCCAACTTCGCAAATTGAGCGCTCTCACGAGTTGCTTTAGTCTCTTCACGTAGATGGGAGGATAGTATTGCAAGAACTTCTCGTCCGTTTCCCTTTGATACGAAATGGACCTTAGAAAACGGAAAAAAAGGGGGGGGATACACAGCGAAGTGAGTTCTTAATATTCGAAACATACGGAGGGACACAGATAACAAGATGAACTAGCCCGTTTGTATTTCTTTCAAAATAAGGAAATTACCGTATTTGGTTGAGGCACTATGCTACAAACCGGAAGATCATGGATTCGATTCCCGATGAACCCATTTGATTTTCTTTTTTCAATTTACCTAACCATTCCAGCCGCAGACCATGGAAGCCCATAGAGTTGCGAGAGGTCGAGGCTCACATTTTATAGACAGTCGGCTCACAGATGGCGGTTAGGTTTTTGAGCCTTACGCGCCGGTTGCCCTTTACCTCCTGGAAGATTCCTGGTACTCATTTCTGTTAGAGGCTGAGTCGACCACAGGGCAATAGTGTGGCCGGAAGGATCACGTCAATTGAAAAAATTCAGTCACCTCATCGGGAATCGAACCGGCGACCTTCCGGTTTGTAGCATAGTGCCTCAACCAACTACGTGAAATACCCGGTTTTGTAAGTAATATTACAGTTGTTATTTTACAGTTCCTTCTTCACCCTCCTTGTCCTTAACTTTCGTTGGTATGGTCCTCTGACGTCTTTCGACTGAGAATTAATTCTACAAGTATGAATTATATTGGAAACTGGCAATGTTACATTGTGATTGCATCTTGGAATAACATTTTCTTCAAATACTAAATGTATGCAGCGTGAATCTGTTTACAGTTATTCAGGCCAGAAGTTACTTGCCTCGAGGCTGAACACAGTTGACGTCACAAATTTGTCGCTGCACCTTATTTTCACCGCCCACGACCTGACTGAAAGTTACAAGATTGGAGAATTCGCCAAGCACTCCAAGAACTTGGATTTTTCTTGTTGACACACTTTCCGTGCGTTTCTAATGCTCTTGTTGTGACCAGTTCACTAAGTGTTTACGCAGATCTACGCCAATGTGTTATTCACCTTCACTTATAGGCGCATGGAAAGTTCGAGAATGGCATTTTTATAACTCACATTCCAATGGATTATTCACCATGGAACGACCATATCGAGTGTTTTGAGTGCTGTTCTAAAACAGTTCGATCACACTGGCCGCGCGGTCTAAGTCATGAGCTGTCTTCGCCCTCTCAGACACTGGGATCGTGGATTCGAATCCCACGCGAGGCATGAATATATGTTCGTGCTGTCCTGTGTGTAGAGTAGCGGTTTTGTGACGGGCTGATCCCCCGTCGAAGGAGTCCTACCGACTGTGTATAGGATTACGAAACTGTAAAAGCGGCCAGGGCCCAACGAAGTGCTGTAGAGCTTTGATGACGGAATGAAAATCTAAAACAGGGGCACGCGGTAGCGTAATTGGTTGAGGCTCTATGCTCCAAGTCGGAAGGTCGTGGGTTTGAGTCCCAGTGAAGTGGATTTTTTTTTATTCAATTTACCTAACCCTTCCAGCCGCACTATGGCCCTCGGGTCGACTTAGCCTCTAATAGAAATGAGTACCAGGAATATTCCTGGGTGATAAAGGGCGGCCGGCATGTAAGGCTGACAACCTCACCGCCATCTGTGAGTCGATTGTCTAGAGAAAATGTGGGAGCCTCGACCTCTCACAACCCTGTGGGCCTGCACGACCTGTTACAGCGATAGCTTTCTTTACCTTTTACATTTATGAAAATCTAAAATCAGTATCAAGTGGTGGCTTGTAGCAGCTAATCAGGGAACTAATTACAGGGAACGTATTACAACGTAGTATACAAATAAAATTGTGAAGGAAGTCTGATTCACCGCCGGTCACGGTAGCCGAGCGGTCTAAGGTGTGCACTGTCTTCGCTCGCTCGGAAGCCGGGATCGTGAGTTCGTATCCCACTCAGGGCATGGATGTTTGTGTGCGTTTTTCTGTGTTTGTGTACAGGTAGAGGCCTTGCGACGAGCTGATCACCCGCCCAAGGAGTCCTACCGTATGTCTAAGATCTAGAAAAACCGAAGTGAACGGAGAAATTCATGGAGGTAGGCCTAGGCCCACTGGGTCTGTAGTGCCAAGGGGGGGGGGGTGAAGTCTGATTCTCCTTGTTCAATGATTGGGTCGCCTAGTGATGCGAGGGCCCGCCCAGCAAGTTCAAGTCATTACGTAATTACGCTGTTGCATGCTGGGACGGGGAAGGTGACGCAATGCAGCGCCCTTGCCCGGAAACATGCATGGTATTTCAGTGACGCAGTCCACATTGGAAACCAGAAAACACGTTTTAAAGTTCACAAGATCAGGATAGTGTATCAGTGAAACCCCAGTTTAGGTATTTACTGTGTTACATATGTGTGTGTGTGTGTGTGTATGTATGTATGTGTATGTATCTTTCCTACCGTTGCTACGCAACGTCTCTGTAAACCGTTACCGCTGCAACGAATACACACACAATTGTTGGACACGTCGTATCCTGAATTGCTCCATTACTTTATTCTTCTTAGCTCGAAGTATTTACGCAGGCTGATGTAGAACTTCATGCCAGTGACGTAACCTAACACTTTCTGCCTCTGTTCCAGGATTGCTAAACAACAGTGGGTCTGGATGCGACGTGTTGTGTGTGCGAATTGTAAGTCATCGTAATCTTTCTGCAAAAGACTGAAGAAATTTCCCCTCCATCAACCCAGAACCATATCGCAGTTTTCGGTAAGTAAAGCGCCTGCGCTGATTGTGCTGATGCAGTAGTTGTCAAATTGTGAAGCGTGAGATACAGAAGGGCATTTAGACACGATTATTTCATTGTTCGCATTTCCCTAGATGAGAGATATGCAAAGTTATATCGATCCCGTGGCAGTATTCGGACAGTAATAGCCAAGGCCCGGGTTTTGATGACGTCATCCTTTTTTCCTGGTATCCTATGCGATGCTCTTAAATATATAAATCTCGGATATGAGGTGCTGGTTACAGAAATGTAAATTTTATAGGTAATTTTTTGGTAAATTTTTGGACTTTTAAGGGTATTTCTAGTCATTTTTGGCCATTTTAGGGATTTTTTCTTCCTATGTTTTCTGAAATGTGAATAACATGGAAGCGAAGTGTTCTTTCTTTTCTCCTTTAGGTCGTTTTTCTGGATTTTGTAGGTCATTTTTTTTTAAATATTTTCAGGTCATCAAAATCCGGGCCCTGCATATTACTACATTTTTGGGTCATATTTTAGGTAATTTTTCTGGATTTTTCGGTCATTTTTTAAATATTTTCACGCTCACGCTCAATAATATACCAAGCTCTCTTATAAAACACAAGTTAAAATTGTTCTAAATGTCAAAAGTTAAAATTTAAATTTAAATGAGAGCTTGATGAGAGAGCTTGATATATTATTGAGCGTGAGCCTGAATAAGATACAGGATCGAATAAGTGAGAAGACGAATGTGATTGCGTGTAATTATACAGCTGTGTTCGTACACCTGAGGATGACCTCTTGAGGTCGAAACATGTAGTATAATAATAATAATAAATATGTTGTGTGGTCGGTAAAATTGACTCTAATATTGACGTTAATGAACGTTCAGGTTTTTGATTAGGTGAGCGAAGAGGAAGGATTCTGCTGCATAGAGTTTATTATTGTTGTTATTGTCATCATAATCATCATTTGTGCCTTATTCCGTTGGTTGTATCTCCTCTGTTGCATTTGTGGTAGGTTCGATACCCCAAATGTTGTTTGACTGTGCCGTCAAGTTATGTAACTGTTGACCCAAGCGTTCTCCATAATGAACCATTTGTCACTTTCAGTGTTAACATTTTCATTTTCCTGTAGATTAATGATTTTTGTGTGGAGGCACACAAGGCACCCCCTCCGGTGGGTCCCGGGTTCGATTCCCGGCACTACCAGATCTTCTGAGAAGTAGTGGGTCTGGAACGGTGTCCACTCAGCCTCGTGAGTGATAATTGATGAGCTACTTGAATGGAAAGGTAGTGGCTCCGGTCTAGAAAACCGAAAATTAACGACATTGGGGATTCGTTGCGCTGACCACGCGACACCCTCTATCCGCTTCTCCGACAAGGGCGGTCGGTATAGTTCGCTCGCGGATTACAGGTCACGGAGTTTTTTGTTTTTGTTTATATTGGTCAGTGCTAAGTTGGATCTTCGCTGGTGCCATTTACAAATGTAACCTTCACGGCGTTGTACGCATTTTAACTTAATCTAAAACGATTACCGTATCTACAGATTCATATATGTATACAATTTTGTCAGATTTGTCACTGTCATTAGCAATTTCACGTTACCATAGCAGCGAACTGTCGATCGTTAACGCGTTAGATGAACGTAAGCTATATATAGTGGGTCACAAACTAACGGTCCTTTGCCTAAGTGTATGGTGTATATTCTGTGATTCGAATATGTGGCCTGACCTATACTACAGAAACGTTACGGTTTACGGTTGATTATTCGAGTGTGTTATTCGTGAGAGATGGCGCTGAAGATCGGACTCGCCGTATCATTCGATAAGATGTAGGACTGGATAGGAATGAGTGAGAAAGCAGGGAAGGTACGAGTATGATGTCTTATGTAACAAACGATGATACTTCCTGCTGGATTCTCAGCTGCTGTTACACCACGGCATTAAGCGTATATTAAAAATGTAATGGTTAATAATGGGGCTGAATATAAAGGGCATCATCTCCCATAATCGTGACATGAAAGACCTTAATTATTAAAAATCGATACGTAAATTAATTTTTCTCTGCGGTGAAAGTCTACTATTGTTGACGTCACGTTGCCATCATTCTTGTGCTATATTTGGACTTAGGGCAGTCACGCCTTGGTCTGTGCCCCGTCGAATGAAGTTGTAATAACAAAAACTCGGTAAGATTAAACACAGCATAAGATCAAACGTGATCAAAATACAGGATCGGGTTGAGGGCATTATAGACCAGTATTCTTATTATGTTTGCAATGGCTGGGTAAGATTTCAGTGTTCAGTACGCTCCTCTTTGCGGAAGGAGTAGATGTACAGGACGATTCGAAATTATTGTCGGGCTTTCCGTGGAATATAATCTTCAACCCGGTAAGAACGAAATAGAACTGCTTACAGAGTATGAAAGTGTAACTCAGAAAGTTTTCTTTGGCGACGCTCTACTCGCCGCATTGATGTGTGGGAGAACATATGACGTCATACCTAAAATGGCAGCTGTTCAAGAGAAAGCAATGTGCATAATTTGGTTTTTCGAAACGAAGTCCGTTATCAAGACGCAGCGTCGTTACAGAACTCAATATGGAAAGGATACACTTTCAGATAATGCTGTCCGACGTTGGTTAAAGCAGTTTGAAGAGCTTGGTATTGTTCTGCACCTAAAAGGAGCGGGAAGGCCGAGCACTTCGCAGGAAAATGTTCGATCGCTTGGACATCTTACGTTCCAAGAAAGGCGCGCATGTTTAACTTGTTTATCATTGTGCAGCATCGGTTCTATAAATTATAAAACCTTTTCGAGTTACACTTTCATATTCCGTAATTAGTTTTGTTTTTCCCGGTTTGAAAATTATAGGCCGCGGAATCCCCGAAAATAATTTAGAATCACTCTATATATATTTCTTTGTAAAGTAATTAATAATTTTGGATACCCAGTGTACAAAACTTTCCCGTCATTCTGTTGTTACTTACTGGCCTTTCGAATGCATCACTCACCCGAAGGTTCAAAGCCCACCACTGGATACTCTTCGAGCCAGTTTCGTCCCGCTTTTGTCCTCACGTTCTTTCTTGTTTGACTAAAATCTCCCATTTTCCCCTCCCGGTCTTCTAAGCTCACAAGTTTGAGAAGTGGTTTCCGGTTTTCCCTGCTAATTGTCATTCCATGCCATTGCTCCATGTTCATTAATCACCCTGTCATCGACGCTATATAGGCACAGTACTGACAGCGTCGTTAAGTAACAAAAGCATTTCTCCCATCCTAACTACATGCCACATCCATTAGAACCTCATACATTTCAGTGTCCTAAACTGTTAGGTGGCTGGTCACGGTAGCCCAGCGGTCTAAGGCATGTACTGTCTTCCCCCGCTCGGAAGCCGGGATCGTGAGTTCGAATTCTACTCAGGACATGGATGTTCACTGTTTGTGTGTGTGGGTATTTCTGGGTTTGCGTACAGGTAGAGAGGCCTTGCGATGAGCTGATCACCCGCCCAAGGAGTCCTACCGAATGTCTAAGATATAGTAAACCGAAGTGTAAAGGGAGTGTTTCATGGAGGTAGGCCAAAGCCCAAATTGGGGCTGTAGCACCAAAGGGAAGAGAAAACTGTTAGGTGAACTGTATAAATAACGAAATTCCTAATTAGCAGTATCCTAAACGGCTGAATTACTTCATCCATCCTAGATCCACATTTAGAGTCGCAACATCATTACAGATGATGATTATATTGACAACGTTAATTTCAGAAGTGTGTGTGAGTAAGATTAGTTCCGGGTTCTTAGTAGGACCTGCAAGTAAAGGCAAAAGTTACCCTGCAGGATATACAGAACTTGGAGATAAATCTCCACGCCCATTCAAGACCTCAGCATAAGATGAAGGTTGAGTGGGCTACTACAACCCCGGGTGAGATCCCTCGGGATTTTGGTGGCCCAAGAACATACCCCGTCATCCCGTCGGAAATCGAATCCTGATCATGAAGCCTGCGGTCTTTTCATATAATTTATTTCTGTTCCGTAAAGTGCAGTTTCAAATTTTATTGACAGATGCCTTCTTCATGTTGAAGTTGATACTTCTTGGAGCAGGAAGAGTCTGAAATCAAGACATAGAACAACGTTGTCTGCAGGCTTTAACTTTCTACTAGTGTTTTGCATATAATGAGTATTGTTGGTAAGTGACTCATCGCTCTCTTTGTGGCGATGTATAATGCCAGAAGATATGCTCTGAAGGATAGCAGGCTACTGGTATCTCGTAACACGAACTTTGCTATTTGAGAATAAGGAGGTCAGATTAAATGAAAACAAATTAATTAGTGTGTTCCAAAAATGAAATTAATCGCACTAACGAAAGGGCAGCGTAAAATGTCTGATATTAAACCGGATAAACAAAGCGATTAACATATATAGGAATGTTACTAATTCAGTTAACATAGTGATTATCTTCTCAACGATACATTACCGTTATATGAAATAGGGACACTCACAGATTATCGTAATTGTTTTAGAAATAAATATTCACATTTAAAAGCCTACCATGGCATAGTAAATTGCTGCTGGTCCTCGCCAGCACAGTCGTTTTTGTTTCGGGCCCCGTCGGACACATTACCAAATTTTCATTCGTTCGAAGACCATTTGTGTGTTCTGAAATCTGGCCCCTCTTCGACAGGGGGAGGAGTTGCCCTTTCTGAGTAGGCGCCATATTTGTTGCACCGTAATTCAACACGAGAGTACCCGCACAGCGTCCACGTAAGGTCACATACTTCACGGACACTATATTTCTTCTAAATGACATGTAAAAATTCAGTTCGTACTTCACAGAAAACATTACGTCTGCGCAACAAAGCCCAGCCCGTTAATGCTGTGTAAGGAAACAATCGCTCTTTATTGTGAGAGCCATACGGAACACACAAACACACTCTGTGGGCAGAATGTAGAGTTTTAATACGTTAAAGCAAGTGCTACATATAGTGGTCACTGGGCTTTTATAAGAGTTAATCAAGAAATATAGTTTATTTTTATTTCCAGTA